TGATATGCATAGGGATCGATGTGTACACCTAGCAAGTGATGTTTATATTGCGGAACGTTTTATTTAATTGAAATAAATAGATAAAACAAAAGGGTGATCGTGAGTGTGAGCAACCATTTGGTTTCACTTTCATTTTTTACTTCAATAAACTTTTCAATTTTGTGAACGTTCATACAGTTCGCATCAAAAATCAAACAAAGCGCATTGGGCAAAATATCTAGATGTGCTTTGTATAGGCAACCCTATGGAAAACTGTTATTTTCCCATGGCAGACGCACATCAATAAGATCCACTCACGCATCATAATTACGTTGCCTAGTAGTGCAAGTAGTGCAGTCACATTCTCTTAGCACTGCTTTTGTCTTTTCATAAGTCCTGATACATTCTCCTTCACATCTTTCCTTAACCCCATGCAGTTCCTCATAGAGGTTAAGGGACAGTAGTAAGGAAAGATGATCTGATATTTTGTTAATTCAACCGCAACCCTGTATTTGCCATTTTTTCATCCTCTCATTTTCTTTCCAAAAGTCGGGTTAACTAACATACACGGAGGTCTTAGACTTAGACCATACCGCCGTATGATGTCAGGACTCTTTTTGCCTTAACATTTCAAGTCCTTGAGGAGCAGCTTGCTTCTGCTCCCGCCACGAATATCCCCCCCACTGCTGCCAGAGACGGCGAGCATGTAACACTACACCTCAGTGTGCAGATGGCCATGCAGCAGGGAACAGCTGAGTCTGTGACTCATCATATCGGGTTGGAAATTATAATAATAATAAAATCCATTAACATAAACTTTATGAAACACGAGAAAACCTTCAAAATGCACACCCTTGAAACCAGTCCTAGCAGGGACGGCTGTAACCAACAGGCTGATATCTACTTTCAAACTCTGTCCCAGGGGCACCGCCAGGGATTTTGGGCCCCATGAAAAGATAATCACATTGGAACATTTTGTTCTTAATGTTCTACAATTGTTTGGGCCCCTGTCAGTCACGGGCCCTTAGAATCGTCCTAACTGTTCACCCCCTTACGGTGCCCTTTCCCAGGAATATAGGGAGCGCTGAAACGCTGCACAGCTCTCTCCAAGGTCAGGATCGATCGCTCCGGCTGCATGCTGACTCAAAGTGTTTTTGAAAATACAACGCTGGATCAAACTGAGGGGGGTGGAGTAGTAGAGTGAGCAGGAGTGATTTTGTTTCTCTGCCCTTCTGCTGCTGAGTCTGGTGGTTGGGGGGGGGGGGTTGGATATAATGCTGATGATAGTCACAAAGAAGAAGAACTGCCCAGAGCACTTTCTTCTCTAATCTCCTCTCCACTTGTCTACTACTTTATATCTCTTAAAGGGCCCATGTAATGCTTTTCCGGTTATTACCTGTCCCCTTATAAACAACCTGATCTCACCAGAATGCGTGACTCCACCACGACTCCTTAACACCACATTGCGTGGTGGAGATCACGAACTTTGCTACATTTACTGTACGTGTCTGCACCACGCAAACAACCCCAATGTAAAGTGAATGAGGCTCTTTTGTCGTGGTGCACACACGCATTTCTACAACGTCCAGCAGTGAGCTTTTATTCGATAAAACGTTTTTAAAATCTACTTTATAGATTGTAGTAACTCACGGGAGGCTTATTTTATTTTATTTGTATTCATAATAATTTGTATTTTTCGTCAGAATGTATTATGGTGCATTAGTTACCAATGTTTGTTCTCAAAAAACAGTGCATTGGGTGTAATACAACTGTGATTTTTATTAAATTAGTTAGTATTTAAGGAAGGCCAGAGCTTCAGCTGTGTCAAATAGATTGTTCCCTTTAGTTAACGTTTTTTAAAAGAACAGTATATTCCGGTTTGATCATGTCCCCTTTATTGTATTACGGACGCAAAGAGCAATGTGAGCGTCCATTCCCATTGGATAACGGAGAATTTTACACCCGGAAGTAAGTATTCTCTTTACTGTCGATTGATTTTACAGTGATATCTGCACTACTCATCAACTCAAAAACACCAGATTATCCTTGTTAATTACACAACATTGATTGGTTTAAATTGTATACAATGCTTTTGTAATTTTCCCCTTCGATTCGGAGAAACAAATATTTTTTCGGAGTTTTTGGATGGCAGAACACTACCCAGAATCCTCAGCTATCGTTTGGGACTACACCATAGAGGCTTCTCAATACTCAAATCCCCCTCCTCGACTCCTCGGTCCTCCGGTAGTGACCCGGAAATGAATTTCAGCGCGCCATTTTGAAGGACATCTAATTTCTCTAAATGCACACCGAGGACCGAGGATCGAGCATCAAGGAGGCTCTCTGGAGGAGCTCTAACCGAGGATACACTGATGGTTCCTCCACGGCTCCTCTGCGGATGCATTTCCGGGAACGGTGGAGGCGTGACGCACGGCCGGACTTATCTCAGCCAATGACAGCTCTGCATGCATCCCCTGGATATTATTTTAGAAACTGCTTTCATCGCGATGCGATGTTTCCAGTGAGAACAGCTGAGAGGTCCGTGCAGAAAGCAGAGCAGTGTGTATAATATATATCACTCAGTATAACTGGCCTACTCTCTTTATTTGCTGTAGTTTAGTAGATATCTACAAACAAAGAGTCAATATTTTTCTAAGACCATTTAGTGCTTCACATAATAAAATACACAACGGCTGTAGCCTGATTATGCTTTAGGAGCTGTAGGTGTGTGTGTGTGTGTGTGTGTGTGTGTGTGTGTGTGTGTGTGTGTGTGTGGGTGTGTGTGTGTGCGTGTGGTACAGTGTGTAGCTGTGTGTGTTGTACAGTGTGTAGGTGTGTGTGGTACAGTGTGTAGGTGTGTGTGTTGCAGTGCGTAGATGCGGCGGACAGACGGCCCTCAGTTGGTTTGGTGTCCTATGCTTACTTTTAATAGGCCTACTTGTAAATACAACTTTTGGCCCGTAATTTCAATTCCCCATTTCAGCGACCAGAGAGAGGGGGGGATATATCCAGTCTCTGATTGTGTTACGTTATGAGAATGCTCTCATACTTTAAATTGTATATATTTATATAAATATACACTGTAAAAACCAACCTATAAGATCTACTCAATAAAATGGAGGTTACAATTTGCACACTCCTTTTGAGTAGATTTTACCCAATGTTTTTGGGTAAAGGTTACTAATATTTAATATATAAGACTTACTTTAAGAAATTAAGTAAAATCTAACTCAATTACTTAAAACGTATTACTTATAAATGAGTAATATTTACTCCTAATCGTAGGTAGCTATTTACTTAATAATTGATCCATATTACACATTCATATTACTTTATTAGTAAGGTTACCAGTAAACACACAAGATGTTATTGATCATGTTTTTTTTATTGACCAAATGTATTGTGCAATATGGTCATACATTGAGATTATTTAAACAGTTAAGTGCATTTCAATTGTTAACACCGAGCAGAATCTTCAAAATAATCACAATCACATTGTTTTAACAGTAAAGAGCATGGGAATTGTAAACATTTTTAACATAATCTTCCAAGTGCAATTTACTCAACTATTAAAACCTTTGAGTGCCAGTAAACAGTCCACTTTTAACAGAACAAGGTTTCTTCACATCACATTATTTTGTGTTTGTGTCACTCGGCACTAAAACAAGTCAACATCCACTTCAGAACAAATTGTTTATTTGAGGCTATGGACCTGTTTGAGCAGCTTGGCTCCATCAAGCTCCAAAAACTGTTTTTAGAATACCTCAAATGTGTATTTGAGCTTGTTGGGGTATTCCAGGTTGAGGGTGTAGATCAGTGTTTCTCAAACTTTTTCATACCAAGGACCACTTAACCAATCAAAAAACACTCGCGGACCACCTAACTCCAAAAATATCCAAAAACACATTGTTTTTTACAAATCGCCTGAAAATTGTACAAACAAGTGGCAGCATGTGTGATGAAGGTGCTTATCTGGGCTATATCATGCAATCGAAAGTGAAACTTAAGCTCGTTCCATTGCGGATGTGAAATGTGAAATGTGACCAATATACTCACGGACCACTAGGGGACGCTCACGGAACACCAGTGGTCCGCGGACCACACTTTGAGAAGCACTGGCTCAGATGAATCCCATCAACAGTGCGCATGCCTTTGTTTGGTTTCCGCACAAAACTCTGTCTCCCTCTATGACAATAGACACATCTGCTGGTCCCCCCTGTCCCTGGCATCATGGATCACAAGCACCTTCATAGTTTGGTCCACGACGTTGTCATGCTCGTCCTCCATGTTGAAAAGAAAGAAAGAAAAGCATATTCACTTTAAATTAGGCATATTAACAAGAAGCTATTATACAATATAGGCTTTGTGGTCTAGCATTAAGCCTAATCAATAAAACCAGGGATTGACTTTTTTTTAATGATTTGTAAAAATGTGTGGCAGCGATTAAAAACAAACAAGATTTCTAACTTATATAAAAAATGTCAGGCCCAGTCAAATTGCCCATCGATCTAATCAATGACATTACATTGATTCTTTCCCATAAACATCACTTTTCAGTGCATGATTTTATTTATCTTATTTCACTTTAACACCAAAAGAAGGTTTTTGTTTTTAGGTAGTTGTATATGTTAAGTAGCTAAGCACATCAGTACATTATCCCTAAATCATGTTCCTGTGAATGCTAAACCATTTATAAAAACAATAAGATGTTTACAGATTTACAGCAATAAATTGCATATTTATTTGTTAGGTGTAAGAGTGGTTAATCACAGAAATTAAACCATGGTATCAGAGCGACCTCCGAAATAACTCCGTTAAAATCTTGAAGTGATCAGTCTTTAACGACATACCTGGCTGTCTTGAAAAAGGTCTTCTTGGCGTTCCCCAAGGTCTTCAATCAGGCACCTGGCCACTGCATCTCTTTTTCCCAACACTCTGGGCCTGTGAGGAAATGCATTTTAGTGACAAGACTTATTTCTGCATTTTCATATTCTTGAATGAAACATTTAAATAAATGTGCCTCATCAATTGTGCTCAGAAGAGGGCGCATCCTGGAGCCAGCATCTCCTCCTTTGGCACGCATCAGCTGGAGCGAGTGGTGTTAGTGTACCCATCCAGTTTCAGCATCAAAGTCTCTTCCAGTGAAAGAGTTGTTATGTGTCGGAACTCCTCCTTGATCTAATAAAGAGCATAGGAGACAACACTCATTACTCACAACAGTGAGTTGAAATGGAAACAAATACACGTAACGTTCTCACCTGAGCCTCATTGAATAAACCAGGCCATCTCTCCTTGAAGACACTGACACGTGGGCTGAGGGTCACCACCTCCACTCCAAATTGTCTGCAGGATTTAAAATGCATAGGACTTAGTGCCATCTCTGAGGATGTTACACTTATATTCACATTTCTTACACTGAACATTACCAACAAAATAACACAATTAAACATGTATATGTAGAAAAATCCTAAAATATATAACAATGAGCTTTGGCTCTGCTCCGTGGTAATCTCTCCAGTCCTCACGATAATATACAGTAAGCTTAATGTAAACATAAGTCTATAGGCTATTGCTGCAGCTATACCTCAAAAAAGACAAATGAATCATAAATCATTATTACTGTGGCTTGGCAGAATATATTTTTCACTACGAGATAGTTGTCTCAGTATTTATCGTTTCATGCACGCTCATATGAATACAGGCACACGAGGAAACTGACGGCCGACGTTAGATAGACTAAGAGAGATGCTACAAGCTAGCTTCAACTTAGTTAGCCTTGTGCATCATTTGAATTTGTCCCCCACAAACCGTTACTGTACTCAATACTACTCAACCGGGTCAGAGTTCGTCATATTACTTGAACTGACATGCTATTTAATAAACGGCTACTGATTTTTGCAGTGTGCATCACGTATCCATTTAGAATATTTGGTAACACGTCCATTGGATAATGTGTAGAAAATAACATTGGACAAACACACTTATAGAGGACGACCAACTTCAAAGGTTGATTTAAACGAATGCCGCCTTCCGATAAACTATCGGTGAGCTGGATGCAATCCTACCTGGAGGGGAGAGAACAGATGGTGGAGGTAAACGGTACTCTGTCCCCCCCCCTCCCAGTGAGCTGTGGTGTTCCACAAGGAAGCATATTAGGTCCGTTACTGTTCCTAATTTATGTAAATGACATGTCATCAGCATGTGACTGCAACTTGTTCCTGTTCGCGGACGACTCAGCCCTGCTGGTCTCTGACAGGAACAGGTTGCAGGTTGAAAAAACCCTCAGCTCCGAGCTCGGCAGAATCTGCACCTGGCTCGCCGATAATAAATTATCATTACACCTGGGTAAAACAGAGTCCATTCTCTTCGGTTCGAAACATAATCTCAGCAAATCCGACGACTTCTCAGTTGCAGTGGGCGACATTATTGTCACAAGTAAGAAGGAAATGACATACCTAGGATCTATTCTTGAGGCAAACCTCTCCTGTGACAAAATGGCATCCAATGTAATAAAAAAAGTCAATCAAAGAACTAGATTCCTATACCGGATCTCCTCTCTGGTAAACAAAAACACCCTGAAAACTCTGGCAGGAGCACTCATTCAAGGGTACTATGACTATGCTTGCACGTCATGGTACCATAGCACCTCCAAGGCGCTAAAAATAAAACTTCAAACATCGCAAAATAAACTGGTCAGACTACTGCTTGACCTTTCATCTAGAACCCACCTCACCTCTGCCCACTTTGACAACCTAGGATGGCTTAGAGTAGACGACAGAGTACAGCTACTTGCAATGGGCCTGGTCTACAAGATCCACTACACCTCTATGGTACCCATGTACATGTCAAAATTCTTCCCAAAGGTCAAGGAATACCATGATCATAACACCAGAGGGAGCTCCACAAATCATGTGAAACCCAGATTTGGCACAAAAAAGGGGGAATACACGTTTCGCAATTATGCCACATCAAGGTGGAACGCTCTTCCCACAACTGTAAAGGAAAGTAAAACTATACTTACCTTCAAAACCTCTCTTAAAGAGCACCTTCGGGGGAGAGCATTGCAAAACTGGCCCCGGTAATGGTACAAATCTCAACCTGTCGTTCAATGGACAGCTTCCCCCCCCCCCATCTATGTATATACTCGCATTTTAGACTCTGTTACTAACTGTATATCTGTAGACTTGGTATGTCTTAAATGTCCTGTTAGGATGCATTAGAACGAAATCTAAAATGAAAATTGTAAATAAGCAATCTGTATGTAAAAAACCCACCTGTATGTAAATTGTAAATAAGCCATCTGTATGTCAAATATGTCTTATATGTCTTAAATGACATGATGAATTGGAAATGGGGGACCCTGATGTAAACAAGACGAAAGTCTTTCTCTGGTCTGCATCCCCTTAACAATTGTATGTTTTGAGCTGTACTGTACTGTACCCAATATACAAGCTGTTAATACACTTTTCAATCAATCAATCCGCGCGCTGTTCTTGTTAGTACTTAGCTAGCAAACAATAGCCTTATCTGCTAAGCACGCACGATGCTAACGTGAAACACAACTTGGCTGGTTAACTTACATTAATATACAACTGTCGCCGTGACGCTTAACTCATTTCAGACGGCATGCCGTCAACATGCACATTATTGCTGTAATAACAATTATTAACAATATGGAGCTAAACATCATAGTGCTTTACTCTTAGCTCCTATGTTAGCTACAGCTATCTAGCATCAGTGACCGACTTCCAGTGAGTAATAGATGATAATAGATGAGAACAAACTTACATTCCTTGTCTAACAGTGAAGCAAGCAGACAACAAGTCTTGTGATGAACCTCAAAAAACGTGAACATGTATATGTAGGACATGATAGACAGTAATATCTTACCTTCCAACATTTCCACACACCAGGAGGAGGGAGGCGCGAAAGAGAACCGCTCCTCTGGCCTGCAGCCAAGAATCACCGCAGACGCATGCGCAAAGGGGCAGTGTGGGCCTAATGTCTTCAAGTAGATTTGACCCAGATTGTTTGTGTTTCAGTTGGTACTGTCAGAAATTAGGTAGTGTAGGTAGAATTTACCCATTCATATATACTAACAATGCTCACTTATATACCTTGAGTACAATTTAAATGATTTGCTTGGATAATACTACCCTCCAAAATCCTTTTTTATAGTGTATGTGTGTGTATATGTCCGCATCTGTAGCCTGTTATTGTCTCATTATACCGCACTGTGAATGAATCAAAGTAAATATATAAGTGGTCATGAACACATCAGTTAATCAGACAGGGCTGCTGTGCCTCCTGTCATCATTAATGGACGTCTCTTTAAAATGACCGCTCAGAGGAGAGGAGTTCTCATTTCTCTAACCGCCTGCTGCTTCCCCTCCTCAGTCCTCCGCTCGCATCTCCTGTGGGCGGGACTGAGGCCCAATCCCAAACCACCCCCTCGAACCTACCCCTCCGTGATGGAGTGAACTCCGTCTGTAGCCACACTCGCAGCTCAACGAGGCTCCCTCCTGTCAGATGGAGGGAGTAAACACAGCAGCAAGCTTTGGGACGGCCTCCCCTCTCTCCGGCAGAAACAGGAAATGCCGTAACTGTGTGTAACAACGGTTTCAAATCAGCATCTCTTAGACAAAAAGTTTAAATTAATAACTCAAATAAAACTCCAAACATCTTTCATTGTGTTTCAAAGCTCTTTTAGTTTTAAACCTGATGTTTATAAGCTTCTTAGTTTTTGCAACGGTCTGTAAATATACACAACTTTGTAATAAAAAGCACACATTTACCTTTTTCTAGACTGAACACAGGTTTGATCCTCAGTTCAAAACATATGAGGTCATCATGAGGTTGTTAACATCGTAGTTTATCAGTGGATGTTTGCTGGAACTACCTGTAAACAGCGTGTTTCCTAACGGACACACACAGCGTGACTCCGGTCAGGTAGAGACCGGTCTCAAGTCAGCTGCAGACTCGCTGTTTGAGGGCTTGATAGCCCACTCCCCCTCCACACTCGTTGCTTTGGAACAGCCCTCAATATGGCGGACCCTCCGCGTGAACGCGCAAACGGAGGGGTAGGGTGTAGGGGTAGGGTGTAGGGGGCGGTTTGGGAATGGGCTTGACTCACGAGGATATGAGTGGAGGACGGGAGTCGAGGAGGGGAAATTTAAGAATTGAGAAGCCTCTCATGTGCTTAGCTTGACAAACGCCGTGATCAGTCCAAGCTCTGTGATTGGATGTTGGAGTGGCAGTGCACGAAGTTTACACGGAGCGTCAAAAAGCACTTTGAAATGGAATGAAACCCATCAACGGCACACTATTCAAAACAGGTATTGAACGTGTCCTACCCCCCCGCCCCCCCCCCCCCCCCCACCTTAGGTCGCAGGCTCCTCCAACAGTGCAACACAATAGAACAGATACACAGAAAAAATTGTGAAATAGTGCAATAAGAGTCTATATAGCTACAAGTGATTGGAATATGATATATTCGATAAATAATTTCTAAGTAGCAGCCAGATGAATGTTATGGATGTTGTTTCTAAGTTCAGGTGTTTAATAGTCTTATGGCCTGTGGGATGAAGCTCTCTCTGAGTCTGGTGGTTTTAGTCCGGATGCTGCGGTAACGCCTGCCAGACGGCAGCAGACTGAACAGTTTGTGACTGGCGTAATGGGGGTCTTTTATAATCCTGAGGGCTTTCTTTAAGGTTAACGTGGTGTTTTTACTCCACTACATTTAATTTAGTTACTTTGCAGATTCTGATGAATGATGTGAAATATAAACAACCCTTAAATCAGACTTTAGTTACACCTGAGTAAAATTCAGGGAAGGTGAAACATTTATCTGCAGATCTCTATAAAGTATATTCATTACTCGTTATTCTCTAATAGTTAATTAAAGACTGTATATTATGGCTATTTTGCACATCCCTTTCAAGATTTTCAAAGGTTTATTGACATATCATATACACAACTACGGTGTAGTTATGCAATGAATGCAAAACTTGGGTCACAGGTTCCTCAACAGTGCATTACAAGACATCTATCAATATGTGTGTACCTCCACCATTAAACTGTCGTATTCTGAACATTTCTTATACTATCTACATACATCTTATAAGAGTATAATAAATATGTATAATATCGGTTAAAATAAGTGCTTCAACGTTAACATTGCAGGAAAGTTGATTGTCAAGTTCCAAAACAAATCATGCAATATATTAGACGTTAAGTACTTTGTCAGGCTTAATATTTATCTGTAGATAGATACCCCCAAAGCTTTTTTCTTATTTCAAAGAAGACCTTAACCTAATGTTTAAATAAAGCCTTATTAGTTTGTCTGTTTTGCACATCCTCCTATCAGGCACTAAACTGTTTTGTTGTAGATATTATTTACAGTATCTTCTTGATATTTTCTATTCTATATTTATATCATTGACCTTCTACTTTCCCACTATTTTGTATGTACTCTTAATATTTAAATGTTTTCATCAAATATAACACATTCAAAAGTGCTTTACAAAAATGAAAGACATTAAGAAAAAGGCATTTTAAACAGTTATTAAAAAGCAACACAATCTACCTGCATTGCATTACTCTAAACGTGTAATAACGTGCTATAACCAGTAGGAGGTTTGGGTTAAAAAGCTGTCAAGTTTACAGTGTTAACAAAATAAAAATATACTGCTGTTTCTGGTTTAGTTTACGACGGATATATTTAGTTATTGTCTTGATATTTGTAACACAAAAGCGATGGAAAAAACCCACAGCAACACAGAAAAGATGGTCTTAACATGACCCAGCGGTCTAGTAGTTAATAAAAAACAATAATATCAAAACAAAATATTACTACTAACTTTATTGTGAAATTCAAACTGAACGGTAAAATAATAGTTTCCGGTCTATTCTGAGCCCGATCTCTGTAGATAAATAAAGAACTACGACAGATGTGTAATATTTAATGCAGCCAAACCATTTATTACAATGCATTCATGTGATGACTTTCAAAGAGTAGAGCAAGCACTGCTGAATAAAGTATGATTTGATCTTTTACGAAACGTTTGTTTTCATATGGAATGCAGTTGGAGGTCAACCAATCACAGAGCTTGAGGACTAATCACGGGGTTTGTCAAGCTAAGCACATGAGAGGCTTCTCAATTCTTAAATGTCCCCTCCTCGACTCCTATCCTCGATACTTAGTCCCGCCCACAGGAGATGCGAGCGGAGGACTGAGGAGGGGAACCGAGGAGAGAGGAGGGGAAGCAGCAGGCGGTTAGAGAAATGAGAACTCCTCTCCTCTGAGCTGTCATTTTAAAGAGACCTCCATCAATTCTAGTAGACCTCAACAATGGAAATATGATCAGTAGAAATGGCCATGACATGGAACCTTTCATATTTCCTCCTTATTATCTCCCGCACCTTCCTTGTTTATCCTGCTGTCTCCCCTGATTTCCTCTCTTGTACTCCCCCCTTCTTCTGCTCTGTTTTTTTTCTCTCCTGTTCTCTGCTATCTTTGTCTTCATATTAATGGGGGAAGTAAATGGGGGCAGTGTTTCACACCATCAGTTGACAATCTCTCACACAAACGTATGCAGTTTAATCCAAGTTCTATACACACTGATGAGAGGCGTCACTGCAGCAGAGTGACTGTTCAATGTGAATATGTTAAAAAGTGAAATAGTAAAGTTTTGGAAGCAATGCGTGGGTTTGGGAGAGACTGGAGTCGTGTAAGAGTCTGTACAATTTGTATTCATCCACAATGGATGCAAACATTTTCTTTTAGTATGTAAGGGAACACATGGTGAGTGATGGAGATAGAAACAGATCATTTTGTTGGACAATGTGTTTAATCTCCTCGCCATTCCCTCTTTACTCCTCCCCCTCTTTGGATCTGTGTTCTCCTATCAACTCCAAATCTTTTTCCCTCACTTGCTCTACTCAAAGACCCCATAGACTGCAAACCTTGAGATGTGACTCTCTCACACCCTGCACATAACAGAGCCTTCAAACAGCTACAGTTGGCAGTACACACAGATTTATAGCATCCTCACTGCCCATTAGCTAATTACTGCAGCAGTCATTTGAGGATTAACTGAGATTCAGGAAATCATTCACTCTCCCTTGACTGCCAGAGTGTGTGTGTGTGTGTGTGTGTGTGTGTGTGTGTGTGTGTGTGTGTGTGTGTGTGTGTGTGTGTGTGTGTGTGTGTGTGTGTGTGTGTGTGTGTGTGTGTGTGTGTGTGTGTGTGTGTGTGTGTGTGTGTGTGTGTGTGTGTGTGTTGTGTGTGTTGTGTGTGTGTGTGTGTGTGTGCATAGAGCTCAGTTTATAACTCGAACCCTGATTACAGGTATAAGAATGTAATTCATTATTACGTTACTTATTTTCTATCATGGCTGAAAATAAAAATGTCATTGAGCACCTCGAGGGCTCATGAGGGGTGTGTGTTCTCTCCCCTATGTAGTAGTGCCGCGCACATATACTATCAGGACGTTACTGATGTGGTGCGGCCGCGGAGTGATACTGTGGGTATACAAGCCCGCATCTGGTATGCATGTATGTACTCATGGAAAGGTCTACGGATACCTTTATTACTCTCCATGACCTGCGGTCAACTATATAGCATAAAGGACTATTACACCCTAAAACAACAAATACAGGAAAAGTTTCTTCCTTCAGTAGTCAGCAGTCACCTTTATAAATAAAGTGTTAGGTAGTAACCCTCCAACACTAAGCACCCTCTTTACCACTTCAAGTCATAGGTATATACAGTTTTATAGATTCAATAAACAGCGGTTCTTTACATGTACGGTACCGTAACCAGTGGCACAGTAGGAATAAGCTTGCAAAATATGTTACCAATTGCCAGAGTGCGTCACCCGTTACCTGCAGAAGGAAGCCATGCACGCATCGCAGCGCTGAAGGATAATCTAGGGCCCGCTCTCTTTAACTCCAGTCGACTTTCTGCTGCTTTCCTATGTGGTGAAACGAGGACCAGCCGCTGTGTTCAGTGGCGTTTTTATATGTACAAAAGTGTTGGGGCACTTAGGGCGCATTCACACCAGCCTTTTATTGTCACGATCTGTCTGTGTTGTGTTTTGTCTTGTTTAGATCTGTCTTTGGTTTCCTGTCTCTGGGCCCTTCTCACTTCGGTTAAATGGATTCCTTGCGTCCCTCACTTGCGTCGTTTCCCTGTGATTAGTCCCTCC